TGCTGGTTGAGGCGGGTCCGAGGGGGTGTGTGGGGGATGCACTGAGCGCTGCCGGCCCCCGCCCCCCCCCCTTACACACACACACACTGAGGGCTGCCTGCCTGGCCCCACCCCTTACACACACACACACACACACTGAGGGCTGCCTAGCCCCACCCCACCCCTTACACACACACACACTGAGGGCTGCCTAGCCCCACCCCACCCCTTACACACACACACACTGAGGGCTGCCTAGCCCCACCCCACCCCTTACACACACACACACTGAGGGCTGCCTAGCCCCACCCCACCCCTTACACACACACACACTGAGGGCTGCCTAGCCCCACCCCACCCCTTACACACACACACACTGAGGGCTGCCTAGCCCCACCCCACCCCTTACACACACACACACTGAGGGCTGCCTAGCCCCACCCCACCCCTTACACACACACACACACACCCCTCTCTGTCTTGCCCTGTTTCTGCCCGTGGTTGCCCTCTCCCTGCCCTGTTTCTCTTCCCAAAGGGGGTCATGGAGAGCTTCCTCGGTACAGCTATGGCGGGCGCCGTGTTCTGCTTCTTTGCCGGGCAGCCGCTCATCATCCTGAGCAGCACTGGGCCCATCCTCATCTTCGAAAAGCTGCTCTTCGACTTCAGCAAGTAGGTGGCGCCCCCGCAGAATCGCCGCCCTCCCAGGCGCTGGTAACATCCCCGGGCGGGACCCCAAGGGCAGGTTCAGAGCCACTGCCGAGACCTACCCAGCCCCCTCCTAGCCACAGCATTGTGGCTGTGGGCAGCTCTCCACGCGTGCCCACTGTAAAGAAGAGGCCTGATGAGGCGTCTCCACAGCTCTGCGGGTCTCCCAGTGAGAACAGAGGCTTGAAGCAAGCAGTCAGGAAACCCGCTAATGGAGTTATCAGGGAACAGAGGCCTTCTCCCCCTCCATCTTCTCCCTGGCTGGGCAAGCACTGCTCCCCCCAGGTCTCTCGACGCCTTGGAAGGTGCACCGCTGGGATGGGGCATCAGTAATCGACCCAGGAGACTTAACCGGGTGTCCATGTCATCAAAGCACCGACCTCCCTAGCGCTCCCCAGCCTGCTCGTTGGCTTTGTCAGCCCAGTGGCTAAAGACTGGGCAGGCCAAGGAGACGGAGCCATCTCTGCCCCTTGTCAGCAGCTGCGCAGGTTTGGGGCACGTTGGCAGGGCAGAATAACATGGAGATATACACATCTCATAGAGCTGGAAGGGACCCTGAGAGGCCGTTGAGTCCCCTGCCCTCATGGCAGGACCAAGTACCATCCCTGACAGATTTGCCCCAGATTCCTAAAAGGCCCCTCAAGGACTAAACTCACAACCCTGGGTTTAGCAGGCCAATGCTCAAACCACTATCCCTCCCCCGAATGAGGCAACACGTGCTGTACCCATCTCACAGCTGACTCCCTGCATCTCTTCTTGGAGCAGAGAATCCGTCGGGGTGCTCTGCTTGGTGTCCCCTACTGAAGCTCTTATATTGTTCCTCTCGAGTCCATCCCCATCCCTGTGTCCCTCATTGGTCCCTTGCAGAGTTAGAGAGGAAGATGGGGGAAGCCTAGGATCAATTTCCAACTCTGCCACCGATTTCTTGTGTGATCTTGGGCAAGTCACCTAATCTCTGGGCCTCAGTTCCCCCTCTGTATTGGGAATACCAGCACTGCCCTGTTTCACCGCTAGATTAGGATGCTAATGGGAGCCATATAAGGTGTGTCTAGACTACATGCCTCCGTTGACGGAGGCATGTAGATTAGCCAGATCGGCAGAGGGAAATAAAGCTGTGATTAAAATAATCGCGGCTTCATTTAAATTTAAATGGCTGCCCCACTCTGCCGATCAGCTGTTTGTCGGCAGATCGGGGCAGTCTGGACGCGCCGCGTCGACAAAGAAGCCTTTCTTGATCGGCACAGGTAAACCTGGTTTCACGAGGCATACCTGTGCCGATCAAGAAAGGCTTCTTTGTCGACGCGGCGCGTCCAGACTGCCCCGATCTGCCGACAAACA